GGGGAGGGCGCCAAAATAAATTCCGCAAAAAAATTTTTCGGTACTGGTCGGGCACAATCCGGAAAAGTCGGGCAAATTTCTTTCCGCCCCCTAATTTTTTCCTTCCGGTACGCCCATGAAGGCAAATCAGTCAATTTTGTATTCCAGTAATCGAATCACACTTAGAGGCAAGAAGCACATAACTAGCGACCATTATCCAAACAAAACAAAATTACAACTTCCTACCCATAAATACAGGAAATGTCTATGACAACATCAATCATGTCACAACACAATTCATACGACTGCATATCAACAGGAGCGCTAAATTTTGGATAAAAAGAAAACAAAATTCACCAAAATAATTCAAAGCAACAAAAATTTATCGAAATATAAATTTCCAAATATAAAACAGAATTATTAAAAAAATAATCTATCATATTATTTACCTGTCCGTTGCAATGTAGATTTTACTGACAACGTCAAAAAGAAATGCCTTTTCAATTCCAGACCTCTTTAATTAAGAAAAAAGAAACTCGTTGTAGTTGCTGTTTATTGAAAGCATGTTAAAACAGCTCATGAAATATCAGAAAACAGTCCTTACAGAAATTAGTATATCCAATAGATTTTCTAGCGTGGGTAACTGTGGGATTAATTTTTGCACAACTTTGCTAAAAGCCTAAAAAAAATGCAAAACAAAATCAAATATGTCTCAGTAAATTGATCACAAAGTATTAACTAGTTTCATATAGGAAACAGGGAAGTGAAGAAACAAGCCAGCGGCAGATCTACCGTGGGGTTCTGGGGGGGGGGAAGCCCACCCCAGCTAGTGTGAACAGTATCTAGCAGGTCCCCTAGAGAAGTCCAGCACCACCCTAAAAAAATCTGCCCGACCATACATTTTCTGCTCTTCGAATCGCGATTAGTGGAACTTCTACTGTTGCGCGTGTTGATTTCTTGGGACGATTTTTAAAATTGATTTGCGAGCTCACGAGAAAATACTCGAGAAAATACTAATTAATTTAGTTAAATATCATGGTTAAAAAACATGTCGAAGTTGTTATACAGCCAAATTTACCGTCCTGTACTATACT